TCCCAGCGTCACATCCCACAGGTCCGCCCGGCACCCCCCAGCGTCACATCCCACAGGTCCACCCGGCACCTCCCAGCGTCACATCCCACAGGTCCACCCGGCACCCTCGAGTGTCACATCCCACAGGTCCGCCCAGCACCTCCCAGTGTCACATCCCACAGGTCCGCCTGGCACCTCCCAGTGTCACATCCCACAGGTCTGCCCGGCACCCTCCAGTGTCACATCCCACAGGTCCACCCAGCACCTGCCAGCATCTGAGCACATCCCATAGGTCCACCCGGCACCCTCCAGTGTCTGAGCACACCCACACGCTCTTTCACCATCTACCACCCAGCATTCGACCTCATATTCTGATGCACAGATGGCCGCTCAAGAGCTGCCACCTCCTTCCAATTCTTGCAGCTGAGCCAGGGCAACAGCCATTGCAGAGAAATAAAAAGACCCTTCCTTTCAGATGTGATTATTTAGAGTATTCTGTAAAACAGCAAGCTTTTCAATCATAAGGAAATCTAAGACACCTACCTGGTGCCGGTGGAGGCTTTTCACTTAACGGAGGTTTCTCATCCTGGGGAAGGAACCATGAGTAACAAGTCAGAGGCTGGACATCTTCTAAAGAGCAAGCTGGCACAGGCAGCAGGTCATGCTGGCACAGCTGGCCACCAGCGGGTTTCGGAGGCTGGCAATCATGCAGGACACTGCCCTCCTTCTCCCCAGGGAGCTGCCAGTGGGCTTGAACCACCCGAGGGGCGTCACCTCTGCCTCAGCAGCGTCACTCCCTCCAGTCTCCACCACCGGCTCCCTCCACACTAAGGATTTCAGCACTAAGGGTTTTCTTCATCTTTATTTTTGCTCTCGCCGTTCTTAGTTTGTTCTGTGTTTCTTACAAATGCATTAGTCCCCAGGGGTCTTCAGCCCCTGGAAGGTGCCAGCACAGAACGGGAACCCCTGCACAGCTGTCTCAAACGTGACAGACCGCTGGCTCCTGTCTCAAAGCATGTGGTGAGCTGCCATGTTGAGCAGAGATGTACAAAGTCAACACCACCCAGGCTGCTTCTCGTTGGGATATGCAAAAAAGGCCCGTGAACTGCAGTATCTATTTCAAAATGCTGTCAAAACAATCTAAGCAGAGGCTAATGCATAAAATAGCGCCTGTGGCGAGCACTGGAATTCCGACCCTCCCTCTACTGTGTATGAAGAAATATACTGGCCAGACGGGGTTAACAGAAACGGCCCCATAGACTCGACTATCAAGCGGCACCAAGGACCTGTGCCCACCGCCACCCCTTAGTTCCCTCTCTGAATTCTCAGACCCCGTCTCTCAGTCCTAAACTCAGTGGAACGGAAAGGCTCTGAACTTGAGTTATTTTTCCCTTAACATACTTGTGTGACAATCATTTCCGATTTCTGCTGAAAAAGAAGACAAGGTTACAAATTAAAGAATGTTTTAATTTTTAAACACCCATGGCATGGCAAAACTAAAAACATAACTTAGAACTACTCCTTGTTTGCAAATTAGTTCTAAAAACTGCCTATCCATGTAAAAAATACCTAAGTGGTTTCTAGTCCCCCAGTTTAAAGCATGCCTTCTGTGGGAAAGCGCTCCGCTGGGGAGATGCTTGAGAGGAAGGGTGGAAATCTTTTATTATTTATCTTATTACTGAGATAAAAGTTTTTTAAAATAATCTTACCTTCAAATTCAGGATGGAACGCCGGTGACCTGATATTTTAAAAGAAGAGAGAGAACGTTTTAAAACAAATATAGAAATTTGACATCTATCGCTTCTCGGCCTTTTGGCTAAGATCAAGTGTAGAAATTTAACATCTTAGAAAAGTATAATCATACAGGACAGGGAGGCTGCACAAGGTGACACAATAAGTGGGCCTGAGCCACACAGGGAACGAGACACATCTACCTGTCACGCTCATTTCTGATCAGGGCTGTGCTTCTGAATTCATGTCTTTACAGAGAGACCCTGGGCCACTCCCCACCTTATGTATGTCTCTGTCTGTCTGTCATCTCTTTCTCACATACACATGCTGAATTACATATGCCATTCCCCAAATGGTTTGAGCCGCTACTCTCCTCCTAGCAGTTGCACTCAAATTGGTAGAAAAATTGTTGTTTCTTGAAATAAACTGTCAAACTACCTCAGTGGTACAGATGAAACAATCCTGCCCAGTTACTCGTTTTTCTTATCTTTGTAATTCAGGCTTCACATGAAGAGAGAGGTCTTACAGCTATGTGTACCATTTGTTGTAGCATAAAGATGAACATCTGGGTTGCTTTTAACTTTCTGTCCTGGAAAAAGTACAGCCAGAGCGCCCCATGGAGGCAGAGATGGCAAAGCGTCGTCTCATCTACTTTGGACATGTTGATAGGAGAGGCTCTTCCTTGGAGAGGGATATCATGCTTGGAAGATGGAGGGTCAGCAAAGGAGAGGACGACTCCAAAAGAGATAGACTGACACAGTGCCGGGGCTCAAGTATGTCAGAGATGATAAGGACGGCACAGGACAGGACAGGGTGCAGGTCGGTTGTTCAGAGGGTCCCCTATGAATCATACTTGATTCTGTGGCATCTAACAACAACTTTGAAGAGCAAAAATAACTGGCTGACAGTGAACTAGAAACAAGTTCGGAAGGTCATATGAGGAGAGAAACTCTAAAGAATTCAGAGAAACAAAAGTACCTGAAGATGCGTAAAAGATCATTCAATCTACTCACTGGTTGATTAAAATGAGGATTACGTGAACAACCCATCATTGAAGATCTTAATTTTGACCAAAAAAAATCATCTTAACCAATTGTTTTTTATTAAATCACTTTGGTCCTGTGTTCTACACAGGCTGGTGAAATCCTGCCCCATCCCTTAAGTCCAAACTAACGCTGCCTTCTCTCACCAGCAGATGAGGCTAATTTACACAGGATTATGCTGAGTCAAGGATCAGCCCCTTGGCACCTAAACATACCATTTCAGTCAAAACATTATGCCTTACAGGTGTGATTCTAATGACCTGATGAGTTTTTGTTCTTGTTGATTGTTCTTGAATCAGAACTGACTCAGAGTTGACCCTCTGGTGGGTTTTCAGAGGCAATAAATCACACGGAAGATTTCCCACTGTCTTTGTTCCTCAGAAGAGCTGGTGGATTCAAACCACCTGTTTTGGGATGGCAGTACAACTCCTTAACCACTAGGCTACCGGATCTGAGGAGAGAGGCAGTAAAGGAGGACTGAGTACCACCCTCAAGCCTCTCGCTGGCAAATGACAGAGTGGAGAACTAACATTAACAGCCAGGTTATTTAACGTGTTATTCTGATGTGTTGTTCAAGCCCTACCCACATTACATTCCCCAAAAAGCTTCTTAAAAACACGGGTCTCTGCCCATACCAAATGAACTAGAAATCAGGTTATGCGTCATTTTCCACAAACACCTAGATGCTTTAGTGCACACTACAAACAGACGTCATATGAGCAAAGTGGAGGGTCAGAGAAAGAGAAGAAGACTGTCAAGAAGACAGACTGACACAGAGACCAACAATGAGCTTGAGAGCATGGTGGGGATCATGGTGTGTCGCCGGACAGGGCAGGCTTCAGGCCTGCTGTTCACAGGGTCAGTCAGTGAACAACAAACTAAGAACCACTGAAGACGTCACACCGCCTCCCAACCACTCCTTGTGGTCTAAGTGAATTTTTATAAGTCATGCCAGTAATTGCTGTATTGTCTCTAAGACTCGATCCCTTTCTTGCTCGCCTGTGATAATGGAATAGTCGACCACGTCATTTGGCACCGTGATAAACTTCGTCAGTAGAGGGTGCTGGAGGACAATGACTAGGAAGGGGCTCTGCCGACTCCAGGGAGCGCTGGTGGCTTGTGGTTGTCAAATACAACTCCTAGCAATCCTATGAACAACAGACCTTCACCCTGACCTCTCCTGTGCCATCCTCACCATCTCCGACACACTTGAACCCACTGCTGTGGCCACCGTGTCTCCCCATCTCCATGGGGTCTACCTGTCCAAAGATGAGATGACACCTTGACATCCTTGAACCCCAGGAGAAGTCTGGCTGCAATTTTTCCAAGTTAAAAGCACCCCAGATATTCACCTTTTCGCAACAATTCTCTGTCCTCAATTGCACTACCAATGCAAACATTAGCAGTTTGAATCCATCCACTCTGCAGAAGAAAGATGGGCAATTTCCTCCCATGAGATTTAGTGTCTCTGAAAACCTGCTGAAGGGTCAGCTATGGGTCAGTTCTGATGGTGCATAATGACAACACCTGTTTCCAATACTCGATCTGTTCTACTGTTTGTGCCACATGCTCACTTGTGAACGATGCACACTTGCTAACACAGACTCCTGGGAACTATTTCTTTAGATATTCAGCAGCAATGTCCAACATCTGCCCATGGGTGCCCAGAACCCTGTTTCAAGAGGCAGCTGCTCAGAGTGCTCTGTTAGGAGGAAACTTCAGGAATTCCTCTGTAGCAGACTGGAGGCATGGCTGCCTCCTCTCCAACATATCTGTGCCAGCCGTGGATGAGACTCCAGCAAACAAACATTTTCTTCCCAGGTGCTCTGCATCAGCCTTAGAGGTGGGGGATGTTCTGTCTGCTGTCCCTGTGTCTCCAAACTTTCTTACCCCTTAGTAGGTAATCCTAGTAGCTTAGTGCGAAGGAGTTCCAAGTTCAAAGCTACCAGACACTCCACGGGAGAAAGACGGACAATCTCTACTCAGGTGATTTACTGCTTCCAAAAAACCTCTGGAGGGTCAGTTTTGAGTGGGTTCGACTTAACAGTGTTGAAGATTGTTCAAAGTGGCTTTCCTAGGCATTGAATTTGACTTTGCCATGTAGACGGACAGGAATATGTGAATGGGCCGTGTGACCTGAGAGTGTGGAAACTATCCGGTAATATCATTAATGTCACACGCAATCAAGATCCTGCTGAAAATTATCCAAAAACTACTGGAACACATCAACAGAGAAGTGCCAGATGTGCAGGCTGGGTTCAGAAGATGCCATGGCACGAGGGACATTACAGCCAATGTTAGAGGGATCTTAGGTGAAAGCAGGGAGTACCAGAGGAATGCTAATCTGTGTTTTACTGACTATGTGTGGATCACAATAAACTCTGGCTAACTCTGAAAAGGATGGGAATCCCAGAACACTTGATTTTGCTGATGTGAAACCTATACGTGGACCAGGAGACAGCTGTCAGAACAGAGCAATGAAACACTGCATGGTTCAAAGTCAGGAAGGGTGTACGCTTGGGATGTGTCCTATCTCCATATCTTTTCAATCTATATGCAGAACAGATCATCTGAGAGGCTGGTCTCTATGAGGAGGAATGTGGCATCAAGACTGGAGGAAGACTCATCAACAACCTGTGTTATGCAGATGACACAACCTGCTTGCTGAAACTGAGGAGGACCTGAAGTACTTGCTGCAGAAGGTCAAGGACTGCAGCTATTAATATGGATTGAATCTGAACATCAAAAAAACAGAGATTCTCACCACTGGGCCAACTGGCAGCATCATGATAGATAGTGAAGAGACTGAGATTTTTAACAACTTTAGTTTGTTTGGCTCCACAATCAACACTCTTGGTACCAGCAACCAGAAAAATCAAAAGACAAATTATACTGGGAAAATCTGCTGTCAGGGACTGTGCCAGAGTCTATCTAGAGACTAAGATGCACCTGATCCATGCCGTGGACTTCACAACTACTTGACAGAGAACTTGACAGTGGCTCAGGATAATAGGCGAATTGATGCCTTTGAGTTATGGCACTGGAGAAAAGTATTGAATATACCATGGACTGCTAAAAGAACAAACAAGTCTATCCTTGAGAGAGTGAAACCAAGCTGCTCCTTGAAAGCAAGGATTCTGAAGCTCCAATTGACATACTTTGAGCAGGCTGCAAGGAGAAACCCAGTCCTTGGATGGGATGTCATGCTTGGAAGAGTGGGGGGACAGCACAAGAGAGGAAGACCCTGGATGAAATGGATCAATTCAGTGAATGGGGTAATGGGCATAGATGTGTCAGAGATGTTGATACTGGCTCAGGATAGAGCAGGGTTCAGAGCTGTTGTATACAGGGTCGCTATGAGTCAGCGTCGAATCAATGGCACATAACAACAACATATATATATTTACATATATAGATCTACCTATACACACATACACTCTAAATTGTTAAAAGTAATTACCTATTATGTGTTTAACTTTCTAGTCTGTAAGTCTGTATTATGTCTGGTTTTGAGGGTTTTTAATATCAGTTATTCTTCTATAATTAAATATACATTTTTACATTAATTTGCATATACAGACATTTTATATATACAAATGCAGATTTTCCTGTAATAATACATTGGGGGGGGGGAAAACCCCAAACCTCATAGGGTTTCTGACCCAGGTATCACAAGTCTGGCATCCTGCTTCATATATAAACTGATTGGCATAGACTTTCTCAGGGCCCAAGCACTCTGACATCCAACTAGAGCAATTATAGGTCTCCCCTGTCTGCCAGGTAGGTACTTCTCCTCTCTTCTCAAAGATGAAGAGGTCTTACAAAGATTAAAACTGCTCCTCATGTTTGCTAAGGAGTCCCCACGTGGTGCAAACAGTACCCTCCATCACCAGCCAAAAGGTCAGCGTGTTTGAATTCACTAAGAGGTACCTTTAGGGAACTCTGGCAGCCTAGTGGTGAGAAGTGCTGCCAAGCTGAAGGTACACGGTTCTAATACATCAGCTGCTCCACAGGAGACAGATGGGCAATCTCTTTCGTGCAATTTACTGCCTCTGCTGGAGGGTCAGCTGTGGCTTGGTTCCAACTTGATGGTACACAACCACAAGAAGAGACAACTCAGAAGAGAGGCGTGGTGAGCAGCTCACAGTCTTGAAAGTCAATGGAGGAATCTTACTCTGCACACATACTCTGACTCCCTCCTGGGGTCGCCAGGAGTTGGAATCGACTTAACAGCAACTGTGTTATCATGCACTGAATTCTCTGTGTGCTAAATAAAATTTATAAAGACAGCTGGTGATGCAGTTACAGAACTGATCTGCTAACATGTCCATGCACTCCTTTGTTCAACAGACCTTTACTGGAGGCCCACTGAGGGCCAGCTCCTGGCTCCAGGCACTGAGGGGCATAGTCAATGTGACAGATAACTTCATTTGTTCATTCCCAATATTTCAACAAAGCCCCCCTCCCCACACACCCCTGTGCTACCCTGGGAAATACCAGGCACAGAGGGAAGCGAGCATGGAAGCCTTTCTACGGCTCTGAGCCATGAACCTCCTCCCTGGGGGTCTTCTTGTGGTTGATATAACACAAAAGGGCTCAAGGGGAGCAACGTGTGCTTTAAAGACAACCTAAAGTGTAGGTAATCCACTAATTATTGGTTATTTGCATGGGAAAGAAAATTTAGGTATATTCCTAGTCATGATCATATATTCACTATATAAGGGTTATATCTTCCCAGGTTTTAATCAGTGTTCATGACAGCATATAAAGTATGTCCATATTTTTAAACAGATTGGTTTTTACCTTTTTCTTGTGCACCCTGTGGTGTGAGAGGTGAGTCTGAAAACCTATCTTGCTCAGAAATAGTGTCATCTTCTTCACCGTCCACCTCATGGAATGATGGAGACTTTTCTGTTACCTGAAAAGAGGAAAGGCAAAAGAAAGAGTAAATACGTAAAGAAGCTACTGTTGTGATACGTGAAGTTGGTGCCGACCCGCCAGTGGGGTTTCAGAGGCTGGAAAGCACATGCGAGGAGACTGTCCATCTTTCTCCTGTGGAGCAGCTGGTAGAGTCCAACTACTTCCCTTTGGGTTGCCAGCGCGCCTCACCACTAAGCCACGAGAGCTCCCCTTACAGACGTCACTGACATGAAATTTTTCTGAACAAACTCTAATGTCCTATTTCCTACCTTCTCCCTTCTACTTCTCTCCTCAAGATGCTTGTCTTAGTGAGACACAAAAGGACCAAGCCTGACAGGGATGGATGAGGGAAAAGGCAGAGGAGCAACGATCTTGCCAGGCAACTTCTGTTAAGTTGTGGAGAGCACCAAGCCCCACCCAGGACACCCTAGCAGATTCACTTCCTCACTCCTGCCAGGGCCCAGCCCACGAGAAGGGGCCGCCCTGGAACTGCTCAGCAGGGCAGCCACGATACCCGACCAGGGGAATGAGCCTGCACTATTCACCTCCAAGGGGGGACCGGAGTGGGTCTGTGGGGAGTTCCACTGCTGACCAAAGGTCGTACCTCCATGGTGGCTTGAATCCACTAGTGACTGTGGGAGAAAGATGGACAATATCTTCTCGTGTGATTTACAGACTCAGAAACCTGCTGGAGGGTCAGCTGGGAGTTGGTTCTGCAATGGCTTTGACTACTTTCTGGTCTGAAGAGGGGCAAGGTGGCACAATGGGTTAAGTGTCGGGGTGCTGACTGAGAGGTTGGGAGTTAAGACCCAACCATATCCATGGTGGGGGAAAGAGGAGGCAGTCTTTCCCCATAAAGAGTTACAGTCTCAGACTCTTCTGGGGCGTTGCTATGAACTAGCATCGCCTCAATAACAGACAGATGGGGGATGGGTTTAGTTGCTTGAAAGGGGACGAGAACCTCTAACCAGCAGTGTCAGACCCATATCAATGACACTTTGGTGCAGACAACTGCGTGGGAGAAGGCTATGTACATATGTTACAAATGTCACTGATGGGATGGAACCCTTCCTTCTCTGTGAGAATCTTCTCGGTGGACATCAGTGACTGGTCCCTTAAGAGATCACAGTGGGCCACAGAGCAGACTTCTCCTGAGGAAAAGGGGACACTGCGACAAGCAGACGGCTGAGAGGCAGGGATGGGCTGCCTCCGTTAAGAGCAGTGAACAAGCAGCCAGCGGTCTGTGTAGTAAACTATGACGGGGTTGCTCTGGGTGGGTCTCTCCTGTTATCTCCGTTCGCTAACAAAATCCTTCTTGTGTGATAATCTTGACTTAGCTGTGTTTCCGGCAATGGAAGGGCCATCTCCCAGGCTGACAAGGGGTTGGTGGCAGTGACCATCAAGAGGCCTCTGGGAAAGGACATTTCAGTGTAGACAGGATGCTGGAGGTAGTCGCCATGAGGAGCAAGAGAAAACCTAAAAGATATTGTCTCCTACTCTCAGTTGGTGGCTTAGTGGAAAGGAGTTGCATTGTCAACCCAAAGACATGCGGTTCAAATCCACCAGCTGCCCCAAGGGAGAAAGATGGACAATCTCCTCCTGTGGGATTTACTGCCTCTGCCTCTGAAAACCCACTAGAGAGACAGTTATGAGTCAGTTCTAAATCGACAGTACATAACAATACTAAGTCTATCATTTAGAGAAGTAAAAAGGAAACTTTCTCTTTGGAGAAAACTGCCTTATTTGATATATCAAGCTGATGTTTAATATGTCAAAGAGATATTAAGCTATTCACTATTACCAGGTGAATGTAAGAATGATAAAAATATTCTAATATAATCATAAAGATAGCCTAGTTTGGACAACTGTCAGTATGTGTTATCACTAAAGCAGATCACATGTAAACAAGAGGACCCAGCACAGCAAAGGACACAATCACAAATGCTTTATGCCGATGAAGCCTCACATGGAAACAGCCAGTAACTACCAGTAAATGAGTGAGATGGAATACAATAGTCACACGTTGTATTATATACAACAATATGAACTATTGCTACACACAATGACCAGAGACTCTCAAAACCTATTCTGTATGATTGAATTAACATCCTTTCTCGAAGATGCAGACCCATCCAAGTGACTGGAGTCAGGACAACAGTTGTTGCTGTGTGCCGGCAGTCAGCAGTGACTCACTGTGCCCTCCTTTACGATACAGCCGATCCGGCACCATGCTCGCAGCCTCTGCTGGGCTTGAGTGCACGGTTGTTAGCACTAGGGGAAGCAATGACCAAGAAAAGGAACAAAGAGAAGTTCCTGCGGGGCTAATACGGTTTTTTTTTCTCCTATGTAAGTGGTTATTCTGTGAAAAGTCATTAAACTGTACATTTAGGATTTGGGGTTTTTTATTGTGGGTGTGTATTTACCCTCATAAAGAATTTGTGAAAAAAAAATAACATAAAAAAAAGAATTTGTGATACTATTCTACAAATAAAACTATAATCCAAAAGGTTAATTTAAAACTTATTTTTTAAAAATTCTCAAATAGCACTGACTGTGACAATTACCTTTGGCAGCTAAGAAATCTGTTTGGGTACTGGAGTAAGAAGAGATGGTGAGATATCATCTCACCCCAGTCAGAATAGCAAAATTTAACAGAACAGCAAGCAACAAATGCTGGCGAGGTTGTGGAAAAACTGGAACCCTTACTTTTAACTTGTTAGTTCAATTTGTGTCTTCTAGGCTGCAACACTTCCATGATACATTTTCAAGGATATGAACAAGTACGGCTAAGCACAATTGATAACAGTGCATCTAAATTCCAAAATCAATCTCCATAATAGTCTATGTGTTTCCTACTGCCAAGGGGGCCCTTTAGAGTAGTGAGAGAAGATCTTCACCCTGAAACCTACAGCGTCTCTTTTCAGCAGGAAGTAGCTAAGAGAATACACCGTCCCCTTTTCCTTATGAATCAAGGTGAAGTCTCTCTCAGGGAGGAGTGATAGGGAATGGCAAAGGACACAATGACAAAGGAAATTAATCAGAACTGGCTTTGACAAGCACTGTGGCAATTGGACAATTAAAGCAGACTTTCAAGGGGGGGGGAAGAACGAACTGGGGAGGAGGGTAGAGAAAATCGTGCAACAATGAATGAATGAAAACCCAAAATCTCTGTAAATGTTCATTAAAATTAATAAAATTTTTTTTAAAAAAAGAAAAACTGGAACCCTTATTCACTGTTGGTGGGAATGTAAAATGGTGCAACCACTGTGGAAGGCAGTGTGGTGCTTTCTCAAAAAAGTTGCAAATAGAAATACCATTTGACCCAGCAATTCCACTACTGAGAATATACCCCAAAGAGACCATAACTGCCACCCAAGCAGATATATGTACACCCATGTTTATCGTGGCTTTGTTCACAATAGAAGGGAGTTGGAAACAACCTAAGTGCCCATCAACAAACGAATGGATAGAGAAGCTGTGGTATATTCACACAATGGAATACTATGCTGCATTGAAAAACAAGGAACTCATGCAATATTATCAAAAGGACAAATACTGCATGGTGCCACTGCTGTAAAACAGGACTGCCCTCAGGGTTGGGGGTAGATTGAGAAGGATGGGTTCGATAATGTATACTGCATTGAAACAGATGAGAGAGAAAATTGTTTAAAAGGGATATGTGATTAGGTATTTTCGTCATGACAGGAGTCCAGAGCAAAGGCTGCATAGTGGAGTGGACCTATGGGGAGGGTTTGTAAAACAATGAAACAATTTCTCTTTTACTTTTCCAAGAGGGTAGTGTACTGGGGGGGAGGGTTGGGAGGGGAGAAACACGCAACAATGAATGAATGGAAATCCAAAGTCTCTGTAAATTTTCATTGAAATTAACAATAAATTTTAAAAAAAAAAAGGCGAGATGGTGAGGACAGTCCGCCCACACCCTACATCAGCCACGCCAGGTCTGCACCACGTGTCTTTACGGTCCTTTTCCTGCTATTTGGATAGTATATGAACTTGCATATTAAAGAGTGAAATGTTTATGCAAGGGAAAAAAAGAGTTTAGCATCTAAATTAGTAGAAAGAAAAAGAATAACTGGGGGAAAAAACCACAAAAATGGAAAGGAAAAGAAATGTACAAAATAACAGGACAAGTAGAATGCATAAAGTAAGCATTTTTTTTTTTTTGCTGACAAAGGAGCAAAGGCAATTTGCCATCAAGTCGGAGCTGACCCATAGCTGACCCTCCACTGTGTTTCCAAGACTGTAAAGGGCACAGGAGGAGACTGCCCACCTTCCCCCCTCGGATCTGGATTCGAACCACCAGATAGGCAAGACCTATGGGTTGGCAACGCCAGTCTCTACAGACTATGTCAACTAAGCTCCCTGTTTAGTCACTGTAACAGATTCATTATTGAGTTAGGACACTTAGAAATCTCATTTCATTAAATATGTCACATTCATTTCTTAAAAGAGGAACATTTTGCTCATTTAACACATTTAGGAATATATAGACAGTTTTTTAAAAAAAAGATGTATTTCCAAAAATTATTACTGACAGGCACAAGCTCTATAAAAACAAACTTCAGTTCTAAAGGGGGCGAGTGGTCACCCTAGTCTGATCCCAGACTCTGCCACGGGGGCCGGAGGGCAGTTGAGGTGAACAACCCTGGAGGGCAAGTGGTTTAGACTTTGTTCACAACACACACTCAAGAGAACCCAGTAGGTGCCTGTGAACTAGCGAGCCCTGCGGGCTCAGTGGTAAGGAACCGAGCTGTCAACACAAAGGCACAAAGGTGGTTTGAATCCCCTGCTCCACACGAGAAAGATGGGAAGTGCCCTCTGTGTGATTTAGTCTCTGAAGACCCACTATAGGGTGAGCTACGGGTCAGTTCTGGCTGTGGTACACAACAACAAGTGAACTGCCCAACACAAATTCTCAGAAAAGGTCAATGGCTGATAGGTCTTCATCTCACTGTTATCCTCCCT